GCCAATATGGAGGGAGGGAACCAGGGAGTAGTAAAATAATGTATTTACTACTCCTTGCTACTAACCCTTGTATTGGAAATAAAGATCTCCGTGACCTCCGCACGATCTAAGCAACGCACGACTATTACTGGCAGGGAGTACTGTAATAGCCATTATTCTAACGAGGCGCATACAATTATAACGATTTCCCGAAATTGACTGGTATACGTGTACCAAAGGTAACGATTCTCACGCATTCTCAACGCTCAATAGGACAGTATATGTATCGATTTCTGTATAACGATTTTTATTTTAACGACAGATTTCTCCTCGTTAACTCGTTAGAGTTAGCACTTCGTTATTATGGCTTTTACAGTAGTCTAATACTACTCCCTGATTACTGGTATAGCGGATGGGGGCATCGCAAGAAAGAAAGAGAACTGCAAGCCACTGCGCGGCTGTTGCCGTGGATACAGCCAATCAGTGGCTTGGCGGTAGATGCGCGATGCCGCCAACCTCGCGTGTCTGAAGCCGGGAGTGCTAGCAGTCAAAATACCAGGGAGTGGTGTTTTCACGCGATTGACGTTGTGTGCATAAACCCGTTCTCGAGTCAAATACTAACCACCGTAAAAGCCATTAATTATTCTAACGAGGCGCATATTATAACGATTTCCCAAAATTGACTGGTTTACGTGTACGAAAGGTAACGATTCTCACTCATCCTCGACCCTCAATAGAACAGTATAATAATTATGACATTATTATCGATTTCTGTGTAACGATTTCTATTAATTTTGTAACGACAGATTTCTCCTCGCTGACTCCTTAGAATTGGCACTTCGTTATGTACAGTACATGTAGACTGTAATTTCAGAAATTTTCGGTCGGTACTTTTATTTTCGGTACTTTCGGTGCGTCTGTTTCATACTTAAAATTTCCATACACCGAACAAACAATAACACACATAATCCAATAGGGAACTGCTTCTCTATACCGAAAATTTCTGTTCACCTAACCCGGCCTGTTGCCCTCATACCGAAAACATTGAGCACCGAAAATTTCTGAAAATTAGAGTATGGCTTTCAGTACTCCCTGGCCTGAAGTCATCAGTATGTCCATGCATGTGGGAGTCAACCCATGCAGTAGTGCTCTAGTGCTGGGTAACATTGCACACATACACACACCCGCACACACACCCGCACACACACACACACACACACGAACACACACGAACACACACACCTCAGACCTGCCCATCGCAGAAGCAATGATAGCGAACAGCTATGTTAGACATAGCAACTAGTGCTGGGATAATTCATCAGCCTTGCAAGCTGTTGAATGGTGTAATCCCACACACACACACACACACACGCACACACACACACACACACATCCACTCAGCGAAATCCAGAACTGCGTGAAAAACTGGATACACGTAGGGTCAACGGAACGTCTCATGGCCGTGCCGCAAATCTTTCGGGGCATTTCCAAGCACCAAATTAATATGCGTCGGAATACAATAGACGCGGGAAAGCAGCGCACGCGCGGGTACAAAACGAGTACGCGTGAGAGACCCCAGATGACACGGACGAGTAAAAGACCAACAAGGATGGCGGGAGCGTACATGTAGCACCGATTATGTAGAATGGGCACACATGTACGGATTGGATGTCAATGCACATGTACAACAATTAGTTACAGCCGTATACGCTGCTGTACTGCTGTTGGGCGAAACAGGAAGGCGAAAACACACACACACACACACACACACACACGCATGCCATGACGAGAGTGATAGTAAAGACCTGCTCAGCTCACACTAACAAAAGCATTACAAAAAAAAGAAGAGAAGGTTCCACCGGCACAAGGACAAGACAGTATACGACGACTGGAAACACGCACCAGGACTAGGTGCACGGAAGAGATGCTAGAACGAAAATAAGAGCTCGAACATACGAGTGTAGGCGAGGGTACACGTGATGTAGCTTTGCCCAGTACAAAAGAAAACGAAAAGAAGAAGCAAACGAGAACCAGGTTATGTTGGCAGGCGTGCTTCTAACGTATAGTCGACAAGGTGCCGTGGAAGGCATACTGGCAAGCCAGTGAATGCTGGAGTGGCAGCAATAATGCGTGCACCGGCAGCTGACGACGGCGGCTCCGCATGCTGCTGCTGCTGCTGCTGTGAGTGTGTGCACGGGCTAGGCGACCACCAGCGACGGTGGTGCTCTTGCGCCTCATCGACGACATCGCCACTACGGGCTGTAAGAAGCAGAAGTGACGGCGGCTGCATCAACGAACGGCAGCACATGAGCAGCAACATGCAGAGTGGCGCAGTAACACGGCCGCATGCGTAAGCACAAGGTGACTGTTTGGGGCAGGTGCAGACCGGCAAATCAATGTGTACGGCAAAGAATGCGGTGGCCCGAAGCTGCAGCGTTGATCACCAGCTTGGCCATTCGTGGCCAGGGGGATTGTCGTCGGCGTTGCCGAAAGGCGTTTCAAAGTAACCCTGATTGTTGGCACCGCCGCTGCCAGAAGGCGGCGGATGGCCCGAGGAGCCACGGCGTGGCCACTGCCCATCGGCTTGTGATCGCCGCGCAGGCGGCGGGCCAATGTGTGCATCCATGTCAAAGTGGCCACGCTTCAGAGGCGCTGGCTGCCAGCCATCGGGACTGTCTCTGCCGATGGCGTCTGCCGATGACTGGAAGGAAGCGCCGCTGGAGTGCGGTGCAGGATGATGTTGCTGCTGCTGTGCTGAGGACATGGGTGGGAACATGCGCGAGCCACCGGCCATATCGTGCACTCCGCTGACACTGGTGCCGGCATCGGCCGCTGCCTCCAGCTCCTCAAGCGGCGGTGTCTCGTCACCCTCACGTCCAATGTCGGAGGCCATCGAAGCCGACTGCTGCGATTGTGTTGGCCGTTGCTGCTTACCGTCAACGGACATATTCAAGCCGTCCACCATGCCGGGCGGGCCAGCAGGCATTCCCAGGAAGCCAGCTGATGACGGTCCAGCTGCCCTGTCTCCTGTCACGGCAGCGTTGGGCAGGGCGCCAATGGGGGGTATTGGCGGGAACGGCATGGGAGGCACCCCGGGCGGATTTGGCGGCATGCCAAACGCACCGGGCAGCATGGGTGGCGGCGGGCCAAACGGCCCCGGGGGCTGCGGGGCGCCCTGGAGAAACGGCGGCGGTCCCGGAAACGGTGGCATTCCGGGTGGCGGGATTGGAGGGGCGATTGCCATCTGGGGTGTTGTAGTGGACGTGGACACTGAGGACGATGCAGCTGCAGAGAACGCTAGGCTTGTGGCCGGATGCTGAGAGAAGAGTGAAGGTGGAGGCACACTGCCGGGCAGAGATGTAGATACGCTGGCTGACGGGTCGGTGCACGGAGGACTGGAGATGGCCTGGAACGGCTTCATGGCTACGCTGGGTGTTTGCGACCAGGTCGGGGACGTTACTGATCTGCCAGCCTGGGGCCGCGTGGGTGTGCCAGCAGCTCCAGCCGTCGATGATGACGCTACCGACGATGCCGCCTGCTCGAAGTTGCCGTTCGCCCAGGAGAGAGACGGGAGAGATGCGACGGAGCCGGTGGTGTTGGAGAGAGGGTCGATGTCGGCGGCGTGTGCCAGCGGCTGCGCCCGCGTCGTCGAGCTCACCCCGGTGGCGCTCAGGTCCAGCGCGGACACACTATCGGTGGCGCTGAGTCTGCGCTCGCCGGCAGCGTCCGTGCGTACGGGAGTGCCCGGTCCGACAGCCTGCACCTTCTGCAGCGTGCCCATGAGCGTGGGCAGAATCGAGTCCAGGATCTCCGTCAGCGGCTTGCCGTTCGGCGCCGTGGGCAACGAGGCAGGTGCCGCGGTGCCGCGCTGCTGCGGATTACGCGATGACTGGTCACTGTGCCCTGAAGCAGCGGTTGACAGACTAGCATCCGTACCAGTGCCGCTCTTTGCTTGTTGTCCCTCCTGGCTCTTCTTCTCGCTGAGCAGTCTGGAGAGTATGTTGAGCATGTTAGACGTGGACTGCTGCGCCGCTGATGCTGAACTGGCAGCGGTGGACATTGGAGCATCGCCTTCGTCCGGACCCGGAGGTGCCTCCTCCTCCGGGGTCCCGGGCGAGGGTGGGGCGCTGCTAGAAGGGGTACCGGGAGTGCCCGGGGCGTCTCCCCTGGCGCCACTAGCCGCGTACATGGAGTCAAACGTCGGCGGCTGGGAGTTGTTAGCGAGGCGCTGTTGCTCTTGCTGCTGCTGCGAGCTGTGAGAGGGTAGGAAGTACGGCTCGTGGAGGTGGGGTCGCGAAGAAGCCGGGTCTGCATGCGTGCTCCCGGGTGAGGACATATCGTAAGGCGACACAGCGCTCACGGCCAGAGAAGTGGACGTGGTGGGCAATTCCGAACCACCGTAGAATGTATCCTGCGCACCGGTAGCAGCAGCTGCAGCGCCGTGCAAACTGGGAATGGGCGACGGCTGCGGGGACGGTCCCGGGGGCTCCTCGTCGGAATTGTCCAGGTCCATATCGGCGACTTCCATCGTACCGTCCATGGCCATGGTGACATCGTATGGCACATCACCCCCGGCCCCGGGAGAAAGCGCCTCGACCGCGGGCGCGACCGGAGAACCTGCCCCGTTGTCGGCGGCCTGAGAGAGCAGTACCGGCAGCTTGGCGGTGAGGCGCTCTCGCACAGACGTGACGCGCTTGGAGATGACGGAGAACTCCTGGACAAGGGCATGCATGGTAGAGCCATGCGCACGCGCACACACACACACACACACACACACACACATGCAGATACACACACACACACACATGCACACATACAAACACACACATGCACACACACACACACACACACACACACACACACACACACAGCAACGGGTTACACTGGAGCAGGCATCATTTTCGTTACCCTGAAAGAATCCATCTTGCTTCAGATAAGGACACAGGGCAACTGCATAGTAAAGAGGTTTGTCTGTTGCAAAAACACTCTTGCATGATGACAGCAAGGCGATCAGGTTGCCAAACACTGTCTATACGACTATGTGCATGTGGACTTCAAGTTGGAGTACATTTTTAGCACAAATTACAAACACATAACAGGTATACAGGAAAACTACAAGGGCAAGCAAACATGGGGGAGAGAGAGAGAGAGAGAGAGAGAGAGAGAGAGAGAGAGAGAGAGAGAGAGAGAGAGAGAGAGAGAGAGAGAGCAAGAAAAGGAGAAGGGCACACAAGCATGACATAAAAGCCTCCTCACCTCTTGTATTGCCTTTGCCTGGTTCAGCCGTGACTGGTGATAGGAGAGGCCATTGTTCAGTAATTGCAGTAGGAATCGTCTATCCTGCAGCTCTACATTCACACTATCACAATAATCACTCAGCTTGTTGCTGGCTTCCTCCAGGTCCTCAAGCAATCGACCTCCGGTGACACGGTCTAGGCAATAAAGACATGACATGACATGTAGATGATAGAGTTTATGGTGGATTAAGAACCGGGGCGGCCAGGGTATATTCTAGGACGAATGTCCAACCGGTTACGGTCCAATGAAGAGTCGGGGGGTGCGGGGGTCCCCCTGGAATTTTCTTTCAAAATACAACCCAAATATGGCACTCGACAGCAATTTAACAGATTTCTTGTTGCTGGAGTGTAGCAAACCGTACATACTCGTGACCCTAGTACCAGCTCACGATCACGCGCCTTCCCTGGAAGTATCCGTCCAGAAAAAAGCGTTTGACCATTCACAGCTCCATTCACCCACAGAAAAGTAGGGGCGGTTGGAACCGATTTGTAACTTTTCAACCGGTTGGGGCGGTTCTAGAAAATTTCCTGAACCCGGGTTCAACGCTGAGAGAGAGAGAGAGAGAGAGAGAGAGAGAGAGAGAGAGAGAGAGAGAGAGAGAGAGAGAGAGAGAGAGAGAGAAAAGCTATATTCGCTTCGCAGTCGTTCAAAACACCCCACTTTACATGACAGAGATGCATATACTTTTTCCGTGCCAATACATGATTCACACAATGGCATCATACACTGATGCAATCACAGATACCCCCAGCCCCCTCCTCCTTACAAATACATCAAAATTAATACAGTCGACCCCTGATATAATGGACACAATTGTGCAAGAGAAATTAGAGAATTAGTTCTTTATAGCTGGAGCTGAAGTTCTTTATAACCGAAATGCATTCACACCATACAAGCACAGGTCACAACTGGCATGCTGCCCATGACTGTAAGGTTGCGTTTGGTTGGGAAGTTTCGGAATGTAAATGACAACTATTCTGGAATGGGAATCAGCAAGAATCATCTGACCAAACAAACGCGCCAGAATCAATTAGGAGTGCGCTTGGGCATCATACAGCCCTACAAGATGGTTTGGTTTGTTGTCAATGAAAACAGTTCGCTACAAAGGGCCAATACTGTATGGGGTCAAACAGGGGCATGGACACTGGTTCGCCACATCACGGGACGCACTATATGCAAGTTCGTAAGAAGTGGAGTCGACTGTGTACGCACACGCACATGCACAAACGTACAAACATAAACACACGTACACACACGTACACACCCACACATGTACACACACACACGTACACACACCTTCACACAAGCAAAGAGACATGAGCAATTCAACAGTTATCTTACAGATTCAACAGAAAAACTCTGTCTGTCTGTCTGTCTCTCTTTGTGTTTCTCTGTGTGTGTGTGTGTGTGTGTGTGTGTGTGTGTGTGTGTGTGTGTGTGTGTGTGGTGTGTGTGGTGTGTGTGGTGTGTGTGTGTGTGTGTGTGTGTGTGTGTGTGTCTCTCTCTCTCTCTCTCTCTCTCTCTCTCTCTCTCTCTCTCTCTCTCTCTCTCTCTCTCTCTCTCTCTCTCTCTCCGTCCGTCCGTCTCCCTCTTTCGGCATGTCTCACCTTTCACGTTATTGGTGATATCCGACTTTTTGATGTCGGTGCGAATGCCAGCCAGCGCTGCATGCTTCAGCGCAACCTCCGACGAGAATTGCTTGAAGTTCTGCAGGGCGTCGGTCAGTGACGCTACCTACAATGCAGGTATCGCAAGCAACACACAGCAGAACATTACAGAAAAAGAACATCACAGAAAATGAACAACGCCAGCCACCGTATCCGGCGCCTCTGTTTCACTAGAAGAAAAATCCCGCCAAAGGAGAGCCCGGGAGAGGTCGATATGCAAGGCAGATAGCTAGCTCATACTTGACTGCGGGCCGTGCTCAAGTTCAAGACGGGAAAGGCTTCGCGAGACTGAACGCGTAGGTATGATGTTGCGTTGCTGCGTTGTGTTGGTTCGTGCTTTTCATTCGTAGAGCAAAATCGTCTCTGCTGAAATTGCGCACAACACAATCAGACAATGCAGGGGTAGAACACAAACTAAGTGCACTAAAACTTGTCTAAGACGACCGCTAAACGGACGTTCGAAACGTGGTCTCAGTTACCAGGTGGTCTCCTTATCCAGGGTCATTTTACTGGAAATAGCATCCCTTGGTGCTGGTTCCAGTGGTCTTCTAGGACAGGTGGTCGCATTGACAGGTTTTACTGTAGTTCGAGAGTCTCGGGAAAGTTCGAGAAGTGTTCTTATATCCACTCTGACTTTTAGGAGGCTCTTCAAAGCTCTCCAAGCTCTCCGAACTTCAGAGGTGGTTGAAACTTGGAGATTCCCGCGTTTTGGGGTCAGCGCATGTGAACTGCTGCAAAAGCCATGAGTCAACATGAGTGTGCGACATTCTCTTTTCGCACACGCGCATTGCGTACTACCTTCGTATCACTCAAGAAGATTGTGGCCTCTTTGGTGCTTCACATTTGCACAAGATCTCCGAATTCTCCCAGTTTCTCCGACTTCCGGGAGGAATTTCTCCGAGAAGCCAGAGAAAATAAGAACGCACCCTTAGATTACACCTACAGTAAAGCATGGTGTAAGCGACCTCTGGGTTTAGCGACCGCCTGCTCTTAACGACCGTTTTTCCATGTACCGACAGTTCTACACGGACACGGTGGGGCCTGGTTCTAAGTACCATCTGGCTTTAACCTTTTCCTCCCCGGCCTGAAACCCATGAATTCCCAGTCGTTCGCTCAGCCTCTCTCTCTGTCGCCCTGCACGAGCAGACCCAGAATTTGAAAAATTCTAATTTCACTCACCAGGAACGGAAGTTGATGATCTTGGGCTCTTTGGAAAGCTTGAAGCCTTCTCTGTCCAAACGAAAATAATAATTACTCAGCAGGAGCAATAGAATTGCCTTCACGCTCCGTTGAGAGCTTCTCTATCGGGCCTCGAAGAGATATTCCACACCCAGTCACAAATTTCTTCGCTTCTACAGTTTTACTCAGCGCAGAGCAAAGATTCAAACTCTCTCAGATTCCTGAAGTTCAAGCGCTCATTTTGGTACCTAACACGCATGGGCTGTGCCCCTGTAAGTCATAGGGAAAGTCCCTTCCCTGCGGATCTCCACTCGAAAATCCAAGGTACGAAATTGCATGCCCTATATTTCGGCCGTAAATTTGCGTTTCCATCTTCGGCGCTCCGGTATTTTACTTTTCGCCACAGCAAACAACATACCACTGGAAAGCTTATTCCTTCAGCAGGTGTGAGAATCGAAGAAAGTATCACAGAGTTACGAATGTTTGAATAGCGAGGTATACGCAATCCGAGTTCACTGTACATACAGTACTTCCTCCGCGTCATCGAAATTGTCGCAGTTTGACTTTTGATATAAAACGGGGTATTTACTCACCACCACTCGTACCAGAGGCAAGGAATCGGACATAGGCGATAGTCATCAGTATAGGGTGACGGCAAAGTTCTATTTTCTGTTATTGAAAGCGGGATTTTTTGAACTAGACGCAATTTCTTCGCTGGTGTCGCTGCGATGGTAATTTCGACTCGCTGAGATCAGTCAGGCGTTGAAGCCTGCACATTTCTCGTGCTTATGGCCATTCACTCAAGCCTCATCACTGTTTTACCTTAGCTGGGGTGAGAATGACTTCGTTGAACAAGTGGCAGCGCATGGAGAAACATCGAGGGGTCAGCAAACTAATTGCCTGCAACAGCGATAAAATTTGTCGCTCTGGCTGAGACACTCAGTACAAGATTGTCCTTGCAAGAGCCGTGTAGACTCTACACGTATTGCTAGTGATGCACGCGCAGGTGCCGTACCATGCCAGTGATGCTGAAAAAGAGGGCGCGCTGGACGTGATAGTACACTTACCTGCATGAGCTGTGACCACACAGCTACGGTAAAATAAATGGGCATGCCCCAGCTAAAAAATGTTCGTTTCAAGATCGAGGTGATTTCGCCGACGGTAATCAACCGACCTCGCAACGATCGTGTATTCTTACTAGGCTTCGTTGGTGGTGAAGTAGAAATCATCCAGAGCTAGCAGACGACAAGCGTAGCAGCTCTTGTCCTGTGGAGAAAGTCAAAGCGTTTGAGATGAGGCGCGACCAACTTTCAACCTTCCTTGAAATATTTCGGAACGATATTTTTGCGTCCATTGACATCAGCGACGACGAGGACTTCATCTCTGCATGAAACCTCTCAGTCCAACTGTCCTGGAACGTTACTCTAGTCTTCAGACTATCATACTGTGTAATAAGTTTTGAATGGCTTAGCTTATGGAGTTGTCAGTACCAAGTGACAAGTCACTAGTCAAACTGCGACAATTTCGATGACGCGGAGGAAGTACATGTTCTACCCGAGTATACTCGGGCTTGGGAAAACAGGGCATGCTACAAAACGAGTATACTCGGGCTCGGGAAAACAGGGCATGCTACAAAACGAGTATACTCGAGCGCGGGGTGCAACAGGTTAACGACCGCTTTTGCTTGCACCGTGGGGCGGTCGCTTAAACTAGGTTTACTGTACATGTAAAAGGCACTGGAGTATGCACTGTATGTGAATGGTAGGTTGGCTACCTACAGTCCATTTCAAAACTATAGACGCGTAGGGTTTTTGAAATATTTCAAATTTGGCTGGACCCTTTTTGAGAATAGTTTTCGGAATATTGCTCAGGTCCGC